AAAAAAAATCTTATTTTAAATCATTATTTTTATGTTCCCTGAACCCGAACCCTGGACCCGGGGCTTTCAAATTTTATTCCTGTACCCGGACCTGGACCCTTTTTTTTGTTGAAGGGTTCACATCCCAGATATATACTCAACAAATGGAAGGAATAACAAAAAATAAAATCCTTTAGATTATAACATTTACATTATTTTACGTTTATTCATAAATCAAAGAATATTGTATTAAAAATAATTACAAAAAAATTATTTTCTTGCTCAAAAATATAATGCTTCTTGCATAAATATTAAAATTTAAAAAAAGAATTTAAAAATGATTATATTTTATTAGTTTATATATCGTTTGGTATTATAGTTCAAATTTATTTAATCTCTAAAAGGTACATTATAATAACCAAACGATTAATTTAATTTAGCAATTGTAATTAAACAATTTGATATGTAAAAAATTATATAAAAAAATTGTTTGCCAAAAATTTAGTAAAAATTAAATATAACTCCTAAAAAGAATTATCAAAAATGAGAAGAAAAAAAGAAAAGATAAAAAAAATAAAGATTAAAAATTACTTAAAGAGATTGAAAAGGTTAGAAATATATGTAAAAGAATTTAATTAGAGGAGAAAAAGTCATAAAAAGAATATTGTATGTATGATGAAAAATAAGTAACGACAGAGGTGAAGAAAAATAACGGAAAATTTATAAATTATTTTTAAAAAGACAAAAGAATTTCAAAAATGAGAAGAAAAATTAATTGAGAAAATATATAGTAAGAAAAATAAAGTAAAGAAATCGTAAAAAGTTGTAAGAAAAATAAAGTAAAGAAATCGCAAAAAGTTAGAAATAAAATAAGAAGGAATAACAAAAATAAATAAAAATTCAAGAAAAATTGACATAAAAATTACGATTTTCCTTTTTTTATTGACACTTATTCTTTCCTTATAGGAATTATCCTTTTTTGATTGACACTTTTCCTTTTTTGATTGGACCTTTTCCTTTTTTGTTTGACACTTTTCCTTTTTTGATTGGGACTTTCCGATTTTTGAATGTGAAACCAGAGACCCGGAGTGAACCGTAACGAACCGTTAAACCATTACAAACCGTTATAAATATCAGAACCGTAACCGAACCGATATAATTATTTTTTGAAGGAGTAAAAAGAACCTTTATAAAAAAAGGTTAAACCGGTTCAAACCGGTTCAGGTTTTATAATTTAGGAATCAAAAAATTTTAATGTCCAGAATTATATAAACTTGCTCTTATAGTACTGATGGTTCTCGCAACATAAGTTTCTGTAGAAAGGGCCTTTCGGGGCTAAAATTTGTGTTATCGTCACAACAAACAAATATGAATCCTACGAGAAAATATATTACATATAATATATTTAAAAATGAGTTATTTTGAATCTTATATATTTTTTTTTATATAATTCATAGATGCTTATAATAAAGATAAATTAGACGATGGTGTTGCTTCAATAAAAAAAAATATTTCTAACCGTAATGAACCATTATGAACCTTTATAATTAACTGAACCGAACCGAACCTTTTTAAATTTTTTCTTAAGAACTGTAACCAAAACGTAACCATTATAATTTTTTACATATCGAACCAACCAAACTGAACCGTTATATATAACGGTTCGGGTCCCTGTGGGAAACCCTCTAAAAGTAAAGAATTGTTTAAAATATGGAGCACAAAGGTGAAGAAAAATAATGGAAAATATATAAATTATTATTAAAAATGCAAAAGAATTATTAAAAATGTGAAGAAAAATAAATTGAGAAAGATACAGTAAGAAAAATAAAAACTTATAATATTTTTTTAAAAAATAATGATTTTCCTTTTTTGAATGGGAATTTTCCTTCTTTGATTGACACTTTTCCTTTCCATTTGTTACCTTTTTTGATTGACACTTTTTTGGGGGACTTTTCCTTTTTTGAATGGGAACCCTGTAATATAATGTTTCACTTCCATCAATAAAATCTAGTGAAGTTAATTTTAAGAGAAAAACGAGTAACATTTTAAGTGCAATTTTAAAGGTAGTTTATTGTTAAAGTCAAATAAAAAATTTTTAAGCCTTAATTTTCATGAAAAATAAATATTATAATGGGATTATTCCATATCAAATCCATTAAAAAAAGCGTGATTTTGGACTGACCTATTCAGATTTGAGTAAATTTTGTGTGAAAACCTCGTTCAAATTTTAGCAATATATATTTGGAGATATCAAGGGTCAAGGTATGAAAATAACTTACGATTCTCGATTGCCATTCAATTAAAGATTTACTATAAAATAAAATACCCATATTAAATAATGATTCGAATATCAAAAAAGGTGCATATATTCTATTTTCTTACTTTTATTTATTTTCTAATATGACTGCCCATTAGTCAGTTTTAAAGTCCAAAATCCTTGTTGAATTTGTACGCTTTATGTAAATTTCAAGCAAATGTCTCTAAGATCATTCTATGCTTATCTGTATAAAAAAATTGTAAGGCCAGGTTTTCGCCTTTATAAAAAAGAGATCAAAACACAAACAGATAATATTTTTTTAGCATAATATGTAATTAATTGTTTTAATATTATTATGTTATTCTTATTATAGTAAAAAATATACAATACTTAATTAGTTAATATTACCTCTGGCAACAGATGCCTAAACGAGTTTATGTTTTTTGTTTTGAATTTTTGATATATTAACAGTATAAATTTTAATTTAGCTTTTATTGCTCCTTGTGAAATTAAAGATTTATTGTATATCTATTTTGGAGGGGTTCTAACGCGATTACTTTGCACTCTTATCTCCTAATTAATTAATTTATTAACGTTATTCAAGGCCATGGTACTTTAAAACAGGCTTAAGGCCACCCCATTATAAGAGGTAAAAATTTTATTTTTAACTTTAATTATTCTTATGAGATTCAAGTTTTATTTTTTATATCAAGTTTTTGATGGCATTTGGGGGGGGGGGCTCCATTTTTTTGAAAACTTCCTATGGAGCTGCAAAATTAGGCTCACAACTTTTAAATTTACTTAGAGAACTTGCTTAATATATTTTATTTTTGACCAAATTGTTCTTTTGAACATCGAAATATAAAATTTATTGACTATTTATTAATATGCTTAAATTGTAAGATCTGCTGTCGATATTCTTTATAAGAATTATAAACAATTGGCATTAACTATGATCCTTTTATTAAATTTAAGAGAAGGCGCCAGGTTATGTACTTCTCCTCAATATCAATTTTGATAGACTAAAATTCATCATAATGTTTTTATATATTTTAAAATAAAAATCAAATTTTTATGAAATTTTATCAGAAAAAAATGAAATAATATGGTATATTTCATTTTTTTAAGAAAAAAGAAAGGATTTTAAAATATATTCATAATTATTTAAAAAAAATTGTGAAATTGTGATAGGAACTAGAGATCTGCAAAAGTAAGTCACGCCCGTACCCAGCCTGCGGGTTGGGGCTTAATATTTTTTAAGAAAATTCGGGTCGGGCCGGGTCGGGCTTTAGAATTTTTTTAAAATATATCTAAATTTATCAATTTTATGGTGAATTTTTAATGTGAAATAAAAATATTTGATTTTATTTATAGAAACTAGACACCATATAACATATATCGTTTATTTTGAATTATTTATAAAAATTAATTTCTATATTTATAATAAATTCGGGCCGGGCCGGTGAAATTTTTCAAAAATAATTGCGGGTTCGGGCCGGGCTGGCAAAATTTTTTAAAATATTTCGAGCCGGGCCGGGCTTGAAAAATTAGGCCCGATGCAGATCACTAATAGGGACCCTGTGGTTGTAAGCTTTGGTTGTAGATTTTTATTTTTATTTAGATTCTGGTTTCTATATTTATCTCAATTTATTCAAAATCAATTTGAGGCGAATTTACAAATATTTGTCGAAATAATAGAACATTTAATTAACCATTTTATATTATCTAATAAAAATCATTTGTAATAAAGGACTGAGTTGGTAATCAAATGCCATTAGTAATATTTGAGTTAGTAGAAATCGAGTTAGACTAGAACTACAAAAGCGAAATGAAATAAGAATCTTCATAATTTACTGTAATAATTATAATGAATTATATTTTCAGGAATCTTTATTGGATAATAAAAAAATTTTTAAATCACCGAAATCTTTCATTTACATAATTTAAAAATGCAAACATTTCTGAAAGATTTTAACTAAAAATTTGTCAATTTCTTAGGATTATATTTTGATAACCAGGACAGTAACTGGAAATTTTTGTTATAAGAAATGGCAGGGTGATGGGGCTAATTTTTTAAATATATTTTGATCATATTCTCTTTGTTATCTTTTTCGCATCCTAACATTCGTCGTTTTTAAATGGGATTCGGTGATTGTGGATAAGGAATTTAGAATATGAATTAGGTAATACTAATGAAATATTGTAAAATTGTAATTAACAACTAATTGTGTATAATTTATATAATATTTATACATTCTTTTAAATAACAATTCAATTAAAGCGTAAAAATTTATGAAAAGGGCGGGGGGGGGGTGTGCAAAAAATTAGTGAAAACTACTCTCCCCTTCTCTCGTAGTAATGGCTCTATCGATTTTTAACGCCATTAATGTATTCACTTAACTTACTTACCAAGTCAGGTGTGATCTTTAGGAATTATTGCGGACTATTGGAATTATACTCTTTGAACCGGTTGTAATTTTTCAAAATATATTTGATACATAATAATATAAGGTTTGTATATGATATAATGTTTAAAAAATTTTGTAAATAGTTACAGTTAATAAATAAAACATCTGCCATAAGTTGCATATATAGGAATACGTTTTATTTATTTATAATGCTAAAGTTTCGTTTTTTCATCTACTTGATTTTTATTTTGATGATATACCTTATTTAAGTATTCCTTGTTATTATCTTTACGGATTTTGTTCAAATTGTTTTCATCTCTTTTTTCATTTAGTTTATTTTGACTACTCAATTTAGATGTTTGACTTGTTGATTCTAAAATAATATTCAGAAAAGAAAAAAATATATATAGGATGGAAGTGAAAGAAAATTTTACTTTCAAAGTTATCAGTTCGTTCTAGATATATACTACTAGGTTTTCTTGGGGGTTCTTGCATCACGTCTGGTTCTATATTATTCTTTTTCCAAGGCAAATTTTTTTCAGCCACGGTCAAGGAATAAGCTCTCGGATGGACTAAGGGATCTATCGCTGGTTCAATTTGAATTGACGGTATATTACTAGGCTTAACAAGATTATATATAAATATAAAGATGAGAAATTACTATCACTATTTATCTGTATTGATAAATATTTTAAATATGGACCTACTTACATATATCTATATAAGAATTATATTTATATTTACAATAAAAATCAAACTACTCTATAAAATCAAAATTTTACTCTATTTTTAAAGAATGCATTTAATTTAAAAATTAATTAAAATAGCCTATTTACGAAATTTTAGGCTTTATTTTTAAAAAAATATTATTTCCCATGTGGCATAATCATTTTATTATTTCCTTCCTTTTACCTTAAGCATAAACAAAATGGTGAAAAATGAAAATATATTATATTATATTATTTGATAAAAAGTATATAATCTAATATAATTATCGTATTAGATGATCGTATATATTTTAAAACCTATACTTTAAATCGTCATTATTAGCTGTAAAAATTAAAAATAAATATAATATATTTCTAAAAAAATCGGATCGGGCTGAAAAATATTTTTTAAAAAATATTCGGACAAGGGCAATGTGTAAAAAGGCAATGGTATAAGAAATGCTATATTTTTTTTAATTTAAAATCAGTGAATATACCTCTAACTATACCTATAAAAATACGCGAATCAAATATTCACATTATTTGTATCCGATTCGTATTTTCGAGTTAAATTGTATTATTCATATTCACACAAATAGAATAATTCCTTAATTCGCACTACTATTAAAAACATTATTCAATTTTATTGATCGAATATTCGATTTGCCTCAAAAATTAAATTCTTTAAGAAAAAATGAATTATTTTATTATATGATTTATAAATGAAAAGGTTAAAAATAAAAAGTTCTGTAAGGAACATATTAAATACTTAATAATTTTAAATACTTGAGAATAATTTAAAATATTAATGTATAAATAATTTCAAATATTTACATACATTTAAATAATTTCGAATGCTTATATAAATGATTTAATTTTATATTATACAATAATAGATAAAAAGTTATTTGACAGATAATATATTTCGGAGGTATCATTTGCACGGACCCGCCCGGCCCGGATTTTTTTTAAAATTTTTTTTTGCCCCGGCCCAGGTTTTATCTAAAATTCAATAAAACAATTTAAAATTTTGATTTTAAAAACAGTATTTAAAATATTTACATTGATCTCTTCTTGCTTTAATGTCCCATTGGCATGTATTGGATAATCAAAATTTTTCAAACCTAATTTAGGGAATTAATATAATATTACATAAAGATGATCGTTTTATATAAATTTGATCTTGTTGGGTTCTGTAGTTTGAGAATTTTTTCCTTATTTAATGTTAAAAAACTGTTAATGTAAAACTTGAAAAAGATAATTATAAATATAGTTATATAGTTTACATTAATTTGAGTGGAATTATCAAGCTATGAAATAATTTAAATGTTAAATTTTGATAAATACATTTTATTATAATGAATATAAAATTTATTTAAAATTGAAATGTAATTACGAAATTAGGAATAATAAAAACAATAGAGGTAAATTTTATATCTCATAAAGGTTGTATTTAATGTATTATTTTCATAATGTTTAATTCTAAATCTGCTCGTTCCATTGCTAGAGCCATTTCCATTACCTTGTTTAAATTCAAAAGTAATCACCGTCTATAGTATCTGAATATCTTAATCGTAATTCTTTATCTAGTTGAGTTATCTTTAATCGAGCAATTAATTGATCGCTTATATGTAATTCTATATTGTCTTCAAATTAACTGAAAATAGTAATAAAACAACAAGCTAAATTAAATACAATGGAGAAGAAAAAGGAAGATTTGAATCCATTATAATTTAACATATATAGTTAGGAGATAAATAATATATTAAATAAAACTTTTATGAGATATAACAGTAGGATGTTTATGATTAAATATATAAGTACAATACAATATCTTATTTATTTCAGATTTGGAAACACCCTTAATAAAGATATTTTTCTATCAAACATCGTCAAAGAGGTTAACTATGATTTAAAAAAAATCACATTAACTGAGTTTTGAACTAACTTAAGGATAATAAAAAATAGGTTATCAGAACACAACTGAACTACGGCTTATTAGAAAAATGTGATTTAAATTTATATTTATAAATGAATAATTTTTAATAAGAAAAATTTCATAAAGAGTTTCTTCGATTAAAATATCATATAGAAAACATATGGTTTAATAAATGAATTGATGAATTCAACACATATTTAAATCAAAATATACATTCGAGATTCAAATTAATATTTATTATAATATTTTATGTTTTGATATTTATTGAATTGTAAAGAAATAATCGTCAAGATTGTAAGTTTTTAATTAGAACTTATTCAAAAAATATATTTAAATTCTATTCAAGATAACTTCAATTTGATTGATATTGAAAAATAAAATTTGACCGATCTTACAATGAATAAATAAGCTAGTTCACTGATATTTTATAAATAAGCAGCCCGCAACAGCCGAAAATATGATAAGATTTTAAAAATCCGAGTCAGGTCTAAAAATTTAAAAAAACCGCGCCACCGGGCTGATTTAAAATTATATTAATTAATAGTTAAAATTTTGCGAAATCATAAAATGCTTAAATATTCATTTACTACTAATATTTTCAAATGCCCTTTGAAATAATTTACAAAAATTATTCAAAATAATTAAATTTTTTAAAATTCCGGGCCGGATCGAAGAATGATCAAAAATAAAATCCTGAGATAATATTAAGATATAAAAAAAATCATAATAATCTTGTTGCGTTTTTCAAATTAAATGAGTGAGAACGAGGAATTAAACTTTAATCTGCTATTTTAAAAAACTTGATGGATTTTTAGTGTTGTTTAAGTAACAACTAACATAACAGGTTACAAGAGTAGTTCCATTTGGGCAAAAGATAACTGTAAAAAGTTACTTTTAAAAATATGACTGTAACTAGATATTTTGGAATATAACTACAAAAGTAACTAATTACTTTTCAAGGTACTTTTAAAAATATATGTTAAATATTTATATATAATCATTCATTTTCTTCACATGATGATTTATCAATTTTAGAATGATTGTTTATTAAATTAAATGTTCATTAAATATAATATCCTATTTAAATCAAGCCCTATAGAACATTTATGCTTGGAAGGCTTATGTCTGGAGAAAAGTTAATTCTCATGATTCCAGTTTTGAAAATAGTTTATTGTTATTGTCAAACAAAATTTATTAAACCCAATTATGAAAAACGAATATTATATTGTGTTATTTAATTTTTTTTGATGCAAATATATTATATAGTGATATTTTTTTGGTACTATGTGATATATTTCAATGCTATTATTTTATTTAAATTTCTTTGATCATTATTTTTAGAATGTAAAATTATTTTGTATAATAAAATGATTATATCAAAAATGCTGAGTTATATAAAGTAATTTTGAAAGGAATTTGGAAAGTAACTAGTCACTTTTGCAATGTAATTATAACTTGTTACAAGTAAATTTTTGTAAAATATAACTAGTAACGATAGCTAATTATTTTTTAAAAGTAAATTTTTACAACACTAATATTTTTTTTGGCTTAAGCATATTATACATAAGCATGAATTAAATCCAATAAATAATTATTTATCAATTAAGATCCTGAAGTATCATTGTTAAATTTATAATATATTATACTTGTTACAGTTTGGCTCTTAAGATCTGATAAATCTGGCATACTGTTACTTGGGTTGGGTATACCTTCTATAATTTTGGGGGAATTCTTTAACGAATCACTTCTAAATTTCTTTATAAATAATTTAGTTATGGATATATTGGCATTTGAAAATTGAAAATACATATTATACTGAACTTAAAAATGAAAGTGTTAAGGAAAAAAGTTGTATACACTTAAAATATAAGCAATGTTCAGAATAACCCAAATGTAATATAGGCTCTAGAACATTTTCTTAAAATATTCATATGATGCAAAAGTAAAATTTTATACTGGTAATGGTGGGAACCTATAAACTAGAAAATACTCTATAAATTTAAAGTATATATCTATGAAAATGTAAGAAATATAATTAAATTTCTGCCCTATATTTTTAAAAATATCAAAATCAGAGTTTGAAAATATTTTTCTACACAAATATTTGAGCAAAAATTTTTTGGAGGTAATAAATTTTATGTAAAAAATAATTTGAGATTTAATCCCTTCAAGTTTTTTGGTCAAAATTTTATCATACTTTAATATTAAAAAATATTATGGAATTAAATCTTTTTTAATTTTTTGATCATTTTATTTGTGTAGATTATTTGGTCTATATTGGCTGTTTATTTTCTATAGACCATTTTAATTTAAGCAAATTTAATTCTAGTTTTATTTATAATTTCAAAGATGTTTAAAATTTTTTTTAACAGAAATTGCTAAAAATAAATTTTTATATAATTAATATATTTAATATTATACCCGAGTTTATTTTATATTACAAAATTAAAAGCAAGTTTTATTTTACGAATGGATGATGTAAACATGGAATATTCTAAGTTAAAATTGTTTTATATATCTTAATTTTATACATGATTAATATTACTAGTGAAGATGAATAAACAGAAAAAATAATTAACCCAGCATCAGCGGGGTCAAATATTGAATTGCCTTGGCCAATTTATAAAGCCCATTTTAAATAATCTCTCATAAAATCTCTGGTGAAAAATATTTGTTTTGTCTTCAAAAAAATACTAAAATATCAGTTAGAATTACTTCAACATGTAACATTGTATAACACTTAAAGGTAAATGCTCAATAAAATATTAACAATTTTACAAGTAATATTATTTATAATTTTAAGAGAAAACATAAAACTCTTTGCAAATAAAAGAGCAAGAGGAAAATAAATCAAATTAAAAAGACCCATTAATATTTTTGCAAAAGACTTCAAAAACATAACCTCCAGTTACTAAAAATCGTTCCTTTATTAAATTTGATTAATAGGGGGGTAAAATACGAAGATGGAAATATTATCGCAACCATGTTTCATCCTTATTTCAAACTTGATTGGACTTGCATTCAATAGTAGAAAATAAGTTAATGCAACAATTCAACTATTAAAAGTTTCCAACTGATTGTAAACAGATAACCGCTGAAAAAAATCAAATAATTCTATTAAAGTTGTTATTCATAAAATATAACACCATCTTGCCGTCAAGTACCCATTGATATACTTTAGTGAGACAAAAAATGTTTTTAAAGATAAACGCGAATTAAAAATTTTTTGAGAATGAATGACCTATTACTAAAATCTTAATAATATTTAATAATTTAATTATATATCGTGTATAATACATGAGATAACAACTCAATTTTTTTGAGCTCTCTAATTTGTATTTTAACAAAAGAAATCTAAATTAGACATTTTTCATACCTTACATAATTATAAAATAAAATGTATCTTGGGGAAATTATATCAGTAGCTAGATACATTTGTAAGAATATATATATAGATAAAGATTTTGAAGGTGTACCTGTATTTAGATACGTTTTTAGACTTATATATCTCAAAGGTGTATCCAGGATTTTGCTAAGAGAGAGGGGGCACTATAAATCAATTTTTTCCCATATTGGAGATCTTTAGGTTCATTTATTATAGACCTTAGCCTATATTAGATTATAATAATAATTTTGGGTTTTCACTTTTTTTAAATAAAAATGTTTTTTTCTAAAAATTTTGAATTATACTCCCTGTTTTAAAAATTTATTAACATTTATTAAATTTTTTTCCAAATTTTTTCTTGCTTATATATTGTATATACATTATTTAGGGAGAGGTAGATGGGAGAAGGGGTGTAGGGTTTTTAGCTTTGATGATGTTCAACGAGAACAGGCAAATTTCCGATGAGGGAGGGGCCCTTTGGATTCGGGCTATTAGAGCATTATAAAAAAATAAATTAAATATAATTTTAATTATCAAATTTCATATAAAATAAAAATAATCCATAAATAAAGAGAATAAATATTTATCTTTAAATAACGTTAATTTTGTCCCTGTGGTCACCTACACACTCAGAAACTTTTGGCACAAAAAGTAGAGAAAAAATTATCAGCTAGCCATGGCGATCCAAAGAAATAATTCAAATTGAGACAAAACAAGGAGATGAAAATAAATAGATCTTATCTAATTTAAATCCGAGGTTCTAGGTCATATTTAAAAATATATTATAGTAGCGCATTATTTTTTCTTTTTAAATAGCGAAGTTGTTAAGTCAGATACATAGTCTAAAAATGCATCTAGATACAGGTACACTTTTACAAATGTATGTAAACAGATACAATTTTTATCATACTTATATACAGGGTTCGCCGTTCTAGAACAAACTCTTATTATGAGATCACAAAATATATAACCAAGATAATATTAAAAATGTCAATACCCTTATTTTTATCATTCTTTCGACCTAATTTTCCTGTAAAGCGAGCATTAAAAAATTTATTCATTAAAAGTCAGAGGAGTATCTATAAAATGATTTAAAAAAATTATAAATAAATTTATTTCCTTAAAATAATTTTGTGCATCAATGGTATTGATTTAATAATTAATGGGCGTCATGGCTAAACAAGGATTTATATATTCCTTTATGGTCCGCACAAATTGAGTGTTTACGTTTGCAGTACGTTTTCCAACGTACATTATAAAAATATCCCCACAATCTTGAACTGATATCTAATTTAAAGAATATTTATATATTTTGTCTATATTTAAGTTTCAATATTTTATATATAAATTTTAATATTTTATATAATAAGTTTTAATTTTATATATAAGTTTTTAATATTTAAATATAAGTTTTAATATTTTATATAAGTTTTAATATTTTATATAAGTTTTAATAATTTTATAAATAAGTTTTAATATTTTATACATATATATTTTTTTATTATATTAGTCTTAATATTTTTTAATTAAATGCTCATAGTAAATAAAATGAATTTTGCATTCAAATATTTTTATTTTTAATATAAAAAAGCGTTAAATAAAAGTATATCAAAATAAAACTTGAAAAGTATCTAAAAACAGATATAGATACCTTTAAAATAGTATCATATAAATACAACATTTTTGTATCTAGATACTTTAAGAATGTTAAATAAAAATGGAATTTTAAATATTTTATATTATTGTTTTTTAAATAATAATAATATTTTTATATAAAAAATATTCTAAATAATCCAAAAAAAACGATAAAGAATCCCATGAAATTTGATCCTATAAATTTAAAAAAAATAATCTTAAAAATTTGAAAATTTTTTATTTTGAGGAAGCTTCAAAATCTGAAAATTATTTATTTCAAATTTAATTTTTTGCTCATTTCTAGAATATTTTATTTTTTCAATTCTAACTGGTAAAAAGGCATTTGTGATCTTGTTTGAATAACGTCGTAATGTATTTGTTATACCGGAGCCTAACCGTACCAGCTTGTTAGAGTCCTTATATTGTTCTAAATATTTGTTTTTATATAGAATGTATCAGGATGTCGAACCGTTAAGTATGAGGTTTAGTTCCAACAGTTTAAAACTGTTAGGCTCCTTTTTCAGTTTTTTTGGAAAAATTTATTTGGATTTCTTCGCTTTAGGTTTAAAATTCAAGTTTTGTTAAAGAAAGAAAGAAATAGTATTTTATACTTTATGAACCTTAGCCAATACTCTCGATATTTTCCAAGGGGATATCTACATGCACCAAGGGTTTTATATCACAACAATATCTCAACTATCCTCTAACTGAAAAACATATAGTTTAAAATAGTGTCAACCTTGCCAAAAAAGCAAACAATTACAATCTATAGAAGTTATTTACTCCTTTAAAGAAAACTCCCATTTTTAAGCAAAAAATTGTGATAAAATATATGAATTTTTCTAAAAATTATATTTAATATACTTTCTATGATAGGGTGATGTTGTTTGTAATTGGTATTAGAATATCTGTTGACTAAAGACGGCAAGTTTACAGGGTCATCATATATATCTTGACGACTGAATCTTTTCAGATTCTATTTTTTGTTATACAATTAAAATAATATATAATTCATTTTTTTTTGAATATTTGTTTATCGGATAGAAAAATGCTAAATTTTAATAAAATAATTTTTCATCATGTTAACTTTTTGATTATTGATAGTAAATCTAAGATCTTTTCTAAATTAAAACCAATCAAAAAAATTTCTCATTTTGTTGAACTAAAGCAAACCCCTTCTAACACCTTGAGTGATCATGCTATAAAATATATAAATAAGTATGTTTAACAGCGGTTCTCCTTTTAGGCATCAAATTATCAACGGCGTCATGCCATTTAGAAGCTATCCGATTGGCGTAAGCTTCATCCATATGACTTGTATCCAAAACAGGGAGATCGATTGATTTTCTTTGATCTTTTCTGATACCTCTGCATAATATTAAATATGAAACATGTATCCATTTATAAGTAATGTATAATGTGCATTTCTGAGAGCGGTCTCAATGTAAATATTTATTTTGGGCTTTACAAGCTTTTCTAAGAGTAAGAGGTCATAAGCGAATCAAAATGATTGAATTATTAAGCTTAATTTGAATTTTATGAAAATATTAATGAAGGTAAAGATACTTCGAAATTAAAAAAAGAATTATACCAGCCGATTGACCGACCAGTTATTTTTCATGGAATGCTGTCTAGTTCGGTCTTCACTTCACTAGACTAGACAAGATAATATCAAATTTTAATATTTAATAAATCAATAATCTCTGAGAATCTTGTGAGGTAAAAAAATTATATATAATAATTTAATTTCTAACTATATTAAAATACTTTATTATTTGAAATATAGGCATTTTATTTACTTAAAAAAATAAATTGATACAGGCGAAAATGTGCTAGGAGCGATTGATTTTATAGAAAAAGAATTAAAAGTTAGTGTCTTGAATTAAATAAGGATAAAATGAAAATATTATGGAACCCCTACTGACAATTGTAACAACTTTAAAATTATTGATCGAGAGTCAATTTTATTATTAGGATCTCCGTTAATTAGTGCCATAACTAGCTTTAGAGAATACTATATTTTGTGTAATAAAATTAAAAACCATACATCGAAAAATTCCGGTTCATCAATCCTTGTATTTGATAAGGAAATCGTTATGTCTTTCCAATATCAATTTAGCTCATCTTCTTTGTTTCAAAACTTTTCCTTCCTTCTCTCTCTAGATATGAAAGCAAAAACTCCCTAGAAGTTTTCCCGAATATACATTTCTCCGATTTTTCGACCAAACATGGTACTTGCGATTTACCACAATTTGGTATCTCTATTAGCTGCCTTCCTTTTATGCAGGCTTCAATGCTAAGAGATTATTAGTAAGCTTGCAAAGGGGAAAGATAGTTTAATTGAAGCTGTCTATGACTTATAAATAAAATATTCTTGCATTTTATCTCCCCCACAATCCACTACAAAAGTAAGTTTTCTCAACCCTCTTATAAGAAATATGTAGGTAAAAATTCCCATTCAAGGTACTCCCACTTGGGAAAAACTTGAATATGAATGGATAGAAAAGGCTATAAGTACCAATCATGATCTGATGCTATCAGATCAAGAGTTGTGGGTGTCATTTAGATATAGACTAGGCTGCGACATATGTCTACCTTACAAATATAAAAAGTGTGGAAAAGAGTTCGATTATAAAATAGACATGGCTTAACTTGCTTATATTCTAAAAGTAGCCTCCACAGAACAATTAATTTGATTATTTCAAATAAATTAGGTTTGGCCAACTAAGCAAATCGGCTTGTACCCATTCTCTTATCACTTTCCGATGGCAAAAGACCGGACTGCTTACAAATACTGCTTGGTTTAGGAAAATATCTTGGGATTTCACTTTGCTTCCCAGTTTTCCTCTAACCTAAACATTGTTCTGATTCAACAGCTGAAAGGTCAAAAATCAGATAGTATCACCACCTTTCTGATTTTCATCTCCCTCAAAAGTCAATTCAACCAGAGGAATCCTTGGGTCCAAGGCAAAAAGATTTTAGGTCAAAAAAGTTTCTTACATAATGGGGATCGTGAATTCTCTTAAAATTTTACAATCAATTAAAATTTTTAAAGTTTCCTCGGAATTAATGACTGCCTTCTTATCCGTATTCTATATTTTTTAAAATAAACAACTCAATGTACCTTTTTAATATGTTTTTATATATCATTTTAAACAGAGATCTGAAGGCCCGACCCAACCTAAAACCCGGCCTAGATATAATGGTATGGCTGTAGTAAATTTTTAAAGTAAAGCTAGGTGGGCTTAAATTTTTTATACCCAGGCCTGGCAGGACAGAATATTTTCATTCTATTAATCCAATCAGGGCCGGGCCGAAAATTTTAAATGTGATCATTGTATAAAATATAAATATATATATATAAATAATAATAATTGTTGTATAATTGAATTATATATCACATTCATTCCACTTCTCATATTTCATAACATTTTAAAACAATTTTATATAAAATATTTTTATATAACTGGACCGGGCATAATGTTAAAAAATCCGGGCCATGCAGTTATTTTTAGAAATCTGGGTCGGATTGTACAATTGGTACTCTTACAGGTCTGTGTCTCTAATTTTTATATAGTATATATATATATATTTTTATAAATAGTTTAAATGTTATTTTTAATATATTTTTTAAAATAAATAAAATGCCTCGTAAAAAAAATAGCAAAATTCATAAAAACTTACGTGATTTCTTCCTTGAGCATAATAATATCACCATGATATTGGTTTAATAAATTTTTAGCTTCGTACACGTTCAATTTTTTGCAAATATCCACAAGATTATCGTCTCTGGATGACAATTTTTTTACTAAGTAAGGTTGCAGGTATTTGTATTGGAGAAATTCTAATCTGTAATTTTCAAAAAAAGAATAAAAAATCTACAACTTATAATTTCCAATTAATTTCCTCTTATTGAATGTAAAAATCTCAATTTATTGGCATATATTATACCTAGGGACATGAAATGGAATGTTTACGAAATGTTACGAGAACGAAACATAGGGAAAATTAATTATGGGACGATAAACAGAATTTCGAGAAATATGCCAGAAGAGTTCTGGAATGTTATGAAAAAATTATATAAAGATTCATTTAAACTATCCTATTAGTAAATAAATTCCAATTTTTCACAAACATAACTATAACTATTATTGACCATTATTTAATATTATTATTATGTGATTTTAAGATTATAAACACATTATTTTTAGTCAAATTTTTATAATTGCTTTGTTATAAGAACAATATTATTTAAAAAAGATTTAAATTTAAGTGGAAACGTTTTGTGCACTAGACCTATATAAAAATGATCGAATATTCAATTCGTTTTATATAATTTAAATTGAATAGTAACGAATACGAATAGTAAATTATTCGTTATGTTTGAATAGGAAACTTATTCAAATTATTATGTTTTAAATAAAATTAACTTATTTGTCATTAATATTGATAATATCAATCTGATAAGTTATATGATTAATAACGTATAATCAACTGCATGTGAAAGGCTGTTCTCAGTTAATTTGCTATAAAAAAATGGCTTTGTAAAAAGAAGAAACAATAAAAAAAGACTTTCTGCCTTAAAAATCTTGACATTATCTTTCAGATAAAGACTCAATTAATACTAATATAAGTATCATAAAGACCAATAAATAAAATTAAACAATTTAAGGAATGCGTTTTTAAAAATGGAACAAGATTCTTTTTCCCGGAACGGGAACCAACAGCACATAGGCGTAGCCAGGATTTTCCTAATGGGGGGGGGGGGGAATTAAAAAATTTTTGGGGGCTTCGCCCCCAGACTCTATTTGGACGAGCCTTCGGCCGGGTTACCATCTATATATAGTCATAAAATACTTTTACAAGATAGGAGGTTAATTTTAATAAAAAAAAATAAGCCTGGAACAAATATGAAATATATTTTTATTAGTTTATATAAAATATAATAAATTACTTGTATATACATTAATATAAAAGCATGGTAATAATTTATTCCAAACAAATATAAGAAATTTATTTATAAAAAGTAAGTAGACATATAGTTGATACTCTATTATATACAATTGGATACAAATTACTAGGTAAAATTCCACTTTTAAGACATATTTGATAGTTAAGAATATATTACAGTTAATATTTTAACAAATTTTACTAATCAATGCTCTTGATAATAAATATAGCAACAATTAGCATTCAATTAATTAACGCCATCTATTTATTTTAAATAAAAAAATGATATTAAAAATTAATTTTTATATTATTCATTGCTCAATGTCTTTAAAAGATATTTTCAGATGTCCTTATCAATATTAATAGTTTTCTGTAAAATATATAAATCACTATATTGGTAAAAATTATTTGATTGTCATATGATAATTGATTATTAGATATACTATAAATCTACGACATATAATATTCCACTATTTGTATTGTGCTTTAATTTTTTTATTTAATTTATGATTTCACTTTATCAATAATTTTATAATTATATTTTACTTTTATTAAGATATATAAATTAAAATTACTCACTTTATAAAAAATAATATTTGATATATTATATTATTTAGTAATTTTATGAATCTATTAATAATAATTATAATACATTTCACTTTTGTCTAAAGACTTATCTTTGGCTTATATTCCATTTCTTTAAAAACACTTTTGGTTCACTTTTTTTTATATATAAATGTTTTTTTCCACAAATGTATAAATTATGATGAATAGTTTTAGTTTAAAAAAATATCAACTTTTACATTCTTTCATTCAAATTATTGTTTAAGATATATGCATACATTTTTGAGGGTCAGGAAGTGGGTGGAGGACTAAGGGGGGTATTTTATATTAGCTTAAAATGATATTCACAAAAAATGATAAATTTCTGAAGGAGGGGATTTCCCCTACCCTTCTATTTCGGCTACGCCTATGCAACAGCAACTCAGAGATACCCTTGTTCCATGTTCTTGAATATACTATGTTTAAGTATCCATGTTAGCTACATATACATGGTTTCCCATTTAAAAAAGAAAAAGTCCTAATCAAAAAAGGAAAGTTTTAGTATTAAAAGAAAAAGGTCCGATTAAAAAATGCATCAATCATAAAAGGAAAAGGTCCGATTAAAAAAGGAAAAGTCAATCAAAAAGGGTAAAGTTCCAAAGACTTAGGAAAAAGTTCGATCAAAAAGGGAAAAGTGTCAAACAAAAAATGGAAAAGGTTCAATCAAAAAAGGAAAAGTGTCAATCAAAAAAGGAAAATAGGAATTTTTTAAATTTTTTTTCTTGTCAATTTTTCTTAAATTTTTATTATTCCTTCTTATTTTATTTCTAACTTTTTACGATATCTTTATTTTTCTTACTATATCTTTTCTCAATTTACTTTTCTTCTCATTTTTGATATTTCACTTTTGTCTTTTTAAAAATACAGGGTTTCCCATTCAAAAAAGGAAAAGTTATAATCAAAAAAAGGAAATGTTTCAATCATTAAAGGAAAAGGTCCGATCAAAAAAGGAAAAGGTTCAATCATAAAAGGAAAAGATTCAATCAAGAAACAAGAAAAGAAAAGACCCGATCAAAAAAGGAAAAGTGTCAATCAAAAAAGTAAAAGGTCCAATTAAAAAAGGTAAAGTGTCACAAAAAAGGAAAATTCCCAATCAAAAACGGAAAATCGTTATTTTCTTAAAAATAAGAAAATTTTTTTTCTTGTCAATTTTTATAAATTTTTATTTGTTTTATTATTCCTTCTTATTTTATTTCTAATTTTTGTGAGATCTTTACTTTATTTTTCTTACTATCTTTTCTCAATTTATTTTTCTCCTCATTTTCATTCTTTTTATTTATAAATATTCTCTGTTATTTTTCTTCATTTCTTACACCATTTTTTAAAATAATTCTTTCCTTTTTTCATCATACATAACAATATTTTGACTTTATGATTTTTTCTCCTTATAGTTATCTTTCACATACATTTCTAACTTTTTTAATCTCTTTAAGTCATTTTTAATCTTTATTTTCTGATCTTTTCTCAATATTTTTTTCTTCTCATTTTTCATAATTCTTTTTTGTAATAATTTTTAATTTACACTTAATTTTTATTTTTCAATGGCAAATTTGAAAAATAAGAATTTAAAAATGATTATATTTTATTAATTTACATATCACTTGGTATTACAGTTCAAATTTATTTAATTTTAAAAAGGTACATTACAGGCGCGTACGCAGGAATTTGGTCTGGGGGGGGGATAATAAATTTTTTTAAGAAATAATATTGTTTTTTAAAAATATCAAGCATAAATTTATTAGGACTAATAACTATTTCTAATACACAATTTTAAATTTATGTGAATTATAAAAAAATTATATGTAAAGAATCACTTAAATGACCCAAAATAGAAATTTGAATTTTTTGAGCCTTTACACAAAAAGTTTCTTAGGAATAATTGCATTTTGTATGTTATATATTTATAATGTAAAATCCAATCTTCGTTGTAATTGAGCTAATTTTTCAATTATCTCATCCTTGCTTGTCGTCAAATGCCTATGAATATTCAAAAGATTCAAACCTTTCAATCTACTTTCAGATGTTGTACTTCTTGGTATGTTTTGGGCCGGACAATATTTTAATTTTTTTAAATATACCCGAGCCAGGCCCGAAATTTTTTTAAAAAAACACCCAAGCCGGGCCTGAATTATTTTAAAAAAACACCCAATCCGGGCTGTATTTTTTAAAACAGTCTATATTTGAAATCGTTATTATTAACTATTAAAATCAAAAATAAATATAATTTAATCCGGGCCGGGCCTGAAAATTTTTTTAAAAAATCCGAGTCGGGCCTAAAAATTTTTTTAAAAAAAGCTGGGCCTGGCCTGAAAATTTTTTAAAAATAACCCAGGCCGGGCCGTAAAAAATTTTTAAAAAAAATCCGGGCCGTGCCCTGCAAATCTTATTTCTGCAGGCCTCTGTTATTCTTCTTAAAAAAGAAAATGTTCTCTCATTAGTTTACTAATGGGAAGAGTTTATAAACCCTTTTATAACATTGGGAATTTAATCTAAAATGTGTTTGAAATAATGCAGAGCATCCATAGCATTTTTTGGGACTATATCAACCATAGTTAATCTTATAAACATAGTTATTCAGCTAGTAAGGCATCATAAGATACTTTAACATCTTTATAATAAAAATTCTAACAAGTATTTTTTTTCTAAAAAAGGTTGGGAATATTTGGGTTATAAATGTATCTATATTTAAGATATACTCTTCTACTGATCCTATATTATGTTTTAACGATGAGCTTGACTTGCTACAAGTCGATTTCTTTTTCCCTGTTGGACAAGAAGTTTCAGAAATAATTATGAAATTTGAAAATGGTAGATTAATATTACGCTACTAAAATTTTGAAAATAATAAGTAAATATTACGCCGAAAAACTTGAAATCGAAATTAATTGATAATAACTTAGTAGATAAATTTGATAATAAATGTAATTAAATATAATTTAATATGAGATACGAATAAATATTAACAAATATAAACAATAATATTTCTGAAAAATATATCCGGCATCTGCATTTTTTGGCTTTGGGGGGGGGGGAGGTTTGCTCCCCCCTTCCCTCCCCCGCTGCGTACGCCAATGAGTACATTATAACCAAACGATTAATTTAATTCAGCAATTATAATTAAATAATTTAATATGTAAAAAATTTTAATAAAAAAATTGTCTGCCATGGAGAAATAAAAATTAAAGCGAATAAAAATAATTATCAAAAATGAAAAAAAAAATGAGTAAAGATCTGTAAAATAAAGATTAAAAATGACTTAAAGAGATTGAAATGGTTAGAAATGTATGTAAAAGATT